AAGTCGGCCCGTTATGCTCTAATTGTTCACATGAATTTCAAAGTTCTTCATGTAAAATTTTAAGATTCAAGCTCTAAAAGTTTCTCAGATATACGAATTTTTCTATTTGATTCATATGGGGGCTTCAAGACCCACCGCTTTTTTTCCTTCAAAATATTCAGATGAATATTTAAGTTTTTTGTGCAAAATTTGAAGAATTTATTTCCATTAGTTTTCCAGATAAACGAATTTTTGTCTTTAATTAATATGGGAGGTGCCGCTGCCCTCATGGGTAGTCCGCCAATTTATTGCCCAAAATGTTTAGATGGATGTTAAAGTTATTCACGCAAAATTTAAAGATTCTAACTGTAATAGTTTCCAAGATAAACGTATTTTTGTATTTAATTTTTATATGGGAGGTGCCACGCCCACTAACACTAAAGTTGCTCCGACAAAATTTGAGGACTCTAACTGTTATATTATCTAAAATATACGGATTTCATATTTTCTTAATATGGGCGTGGCTCCTCGCCCACTTGGAATTTCAAAATAAAAAGTAGCCTATTACCTATTCCTGACATACAGAAATACGCTGTGAAATTTTAATAAAATCGGTTCAGCCGTTACAAACAAACACACATTCATTTTTATATACATAGATCAAGTGATTTTTTTAGTATTTTTGTGACGAGAAACCCCTTTTCAGAGTGTTGTGAGGATAACCAATAAAAATGTTTAAATAAAAAGTATTAAATTTTTTCTTCGTAATTTAACATTTTATTAGCACTTGCAGCTCTGCTCCTTAAATCTGAAGGTCATCATAATATTTTCTATTCTGTTCATACAATTATTGTGGTATATTAAAATTAAAACAAACTTTTAGAAAACAATTAATTGCAAAAAAACTGTATATTTCCATTCAAATTCCTCAAAACTGCTTACCTTTAAACAACTCTAGTAAATGTAAATTATTTTCACAATTTGTTTCTTATTTTCCCTCACTTAAAATGAAATAAATTATAATAACAATTTGTTAAGAATTTGAAACATAAATACTTCATATACATACATATCTACATATGCATATATATAATACATACTCATATAAAAGCAATTAACATAAATAAATACTCATACATTCAAGGCAATTATCTAAAGAAAATAAAATATAAAAACCACATAATGATGATCATAATAAACAATCTCATCATGGATAGACGTACAAAAGGAAAAATAATTTTGCTAAAAGAGAATATACAGCTTTTTACCACATTTTCATGCAAGTAAACAAAACGTTAAACGTATAAAAACCCACTACTTTGAAAAGCATTTATAATCTATGACTGCAAAAGAAAAATGTTAGAGAGAGAAAAAAAGGTAAACATCAGGAATATTTACCACATTAATAAAAACATACTACCACATACTATGAATATACAAAAACCAAAGCAGCCTACGATAAATAAATAGATAAATAAAAGCAAAAAATACTTAAGCTGAAAAGAAAAACCTATGACACCCCACATCAACACAGCAGCAGAACGAAAAAAAAGTCACAGCAGTTCTAACAACATTCCTTTTTAAAATTTCACCACAAGAAGTGTTCGTTAAGCTTTTCATTCACACACTCTCCTATATTCATTGCCTTCTTTCTTTCTACATGTGTATAAGTCTAACAAATACATAATCATAAAAATACTAAGATAAACACTTTACTCGTTAAGGAATTTTACTTTACAAAATATATATGTATATGGTATCTGTAAGAGTCTTTCCGTCATCCTATTTTGTCTCCAAGTTTTATTTAGTTAAATCACCGGAAATACAAAAAGATTACATTGAAAAACTTATTTTTCTTCAATATTTTTTAATTTACAAGTACAATATGTTTCTTGAAAAGGTGTTTCCTGGAAATATAGCCTTCGAGCTAAAATCTGTTAGTAAGTTAATAATCTGAATATTAAATGTTAGTTGTTTCGTTCTGTCTATGTTAGAAAAAATTATAAAGGAAAATATAGGGACTTTTTCTTGGGGCACATATTCAATTTCAGGTTTGCCTGACGAAATTTTAAATGATTTTTTGTTATACGTACATTAGGGTGCCCCGTGGACCACTTTTTAGGAGGTATACCTCTAAAACGATGCGTTTCAATGTACTAAATTGATCTCAGTACAATATATTAAAAAAATATTTTCTGCAATCTTTTCGAATTGGGTGTCAAAAATTCCGTAATTTTGATTTTTATTGTATTATAAGGAGCATATAATTTTCAAAAAATTCTAAAAGATTCTGAAATGGACTAAACCAAATGCCAAACAATTTTTTAAAGATTTTTCTGTATGAACTACAAATTACGGCAATTTTGGCAAAAATATTTTTATCTGGGTCAGGATTTTCAATCCCTGGTAGGGAACTGAGAACCATTCCAAAAACATATTTTTTTGTGTTCAGTACATTAATACGCATCAATTGAGTGGTCGGGACACTATAATTTACATACATATATCACTAATATAAGGAATATATAAATGTATGGATCTAGTTTTAGATAATAAAATTCTCGAAAAAAATTCAAAACTTCTATATATTTTGGGGATTGTAAATTATAACGAAATCGGCATACCGGTATAAAACTAATATAACGGTACTTATACCGGCATCAATAAAAAACTATGTTAAAACTAACAAAAAGTTAAAAAAGAACAAGTAAGAGTGTATATTCGCAGAATCTTATAGTAACATTGAATTAATGAATTTATGAGGGTCCTTTTTGAATTACCTAATATGAATACTTAAGAGAAACTTTTGCAAAAATATATCGTACGAGGTACACATAAAGCCTTTTGTATGAGGGTTAGAAGAAAATGTGGACTGATATTCAATAACAAGCAAATTACATCTAGAGGCTCCTCCGATTGGGCCCTATAATGTTTTACATATCATCTTAAAATAGACCCATGTTTTGATAATGAGCATTAGTTAAATACATTGCATTGTATCACTATTGCTAACTTTAATGCAAATAGAGGCAAGATATTGCTAATGAAACTGGTGTAATACCATTATTGATTGGGTATTGATACCGTTACGATAACGATATTTTACCGGTATGATACTAATTTAAGGGTAAACGGTATTTGAATACCGGTATTTATACCGATCAACTTGGAAAACAAGTCTTTTCAAGTCGGTTAGATTGTGCAAATTTTTTAATTTTAATTCAATTTATAACTAAAAGTATTTATTGATTTCAATGTTCTTGCAAAAATTTAATTATATTTTTTTTAATAAATTAAGCCTAAACTAAATGAAAATATTTTTATTAAAAATTTTAAAAACTTTGTAATACAACTTTATAATATCCTCATTGGCAGGTATTCGAATTTAAAATTTAGAATTTTAAAATTTGATAAATTTTAGAAGCTAAATATATCTTTCAATTAAAAAATAAAAATTGGAATTAATAAAAAATCTAGAAAATGGTCCATTTTACGAACGGACAAGACTAAAAGCAAAATATTTTGGGAAACATCATATGACATAACAAGTTTTATTTTTAGAAAGGTAGCATCTTTTCTGAATCGGAAAAATTTTGTCCGAAAATTTTTGGGAATTCCATTTAAATATCTATTAATTTTATTAATTGAACCGTAATAATAATACAAATTTTTATTTTTTTTAGTTCAACAATTTTATTAATTCAACAAAAAAATTTAATATAAATTTTTATTTAAAATTATAAGTAAATGTTTTTATTAAAACTAAGAAAAACAAATAAGAATGTACACCAGTGATTATTTTTAATAATAAAGTAATTAAGTAGATTTTTTCCTTAATTTCGAAATATTCTAAAAACTTGTTGCCAAAAAAAGTGATTGAAAGAGGTGTTTATATAAGGTAAGGGTAAATATGGGCCTATCCGTATAAATATTGTTAAAGGGATTTACGTTTACATTAAAGTTATTTGGCCATAATTTGATTGTGATACTATTGTTTATAAGTGAATTATTGAACTTTAAGTCATTTTCTAAAGGGGACTTTGCATGGGAGCTGGGATCGAATGAGGCCGATCATTACGAAAATCGGCAGTAAAATTTAGACTTACACACAAAGCTAAGTTGTGCCGATTTCTGTAGAGATAATAAAACATTTAACGTAAATATGAGCTCAAAAGCACAATTCGAGGGTACGGTGGTATAGGTAAAATAATAGGCCCATTTTAATCATTTTTAATAGGCTTCATTCATCCTTGAGTCAAGAGAACAGTATATGTCACGTTATTTTGAAAATTACGCACAGACGGACATAGCATAATCAGAAAGTGATTCTGAGTCGATTGGTATAAATTTTAGTTTTTCTTTACTTTTCAATCGTAATAATTGATAGAAATTAACATTATTTTAAGGTTAATTAAACTGATTATAAAATAATTTGATCTTTGATTAAAAACTGTATTTTTATTAAAAACAAACTGCACTGCTCCATCGTAATATACAAACAAAAATTTTTTAAAGTTAAAGAGTACATTGTGGTTTTATATTCCTAGAAGACTTCGCCCAACAAATTTAAATGTTATAGTACCGAGAAAACTCATTAATACTACATGTGTATCTATAAATATTAACAACAGTTACTAGTGTGAATGGATGTTATAACTCTAAAACTGATGAATGATTATAGGTTTCTATTTCTATATTTTTAAGTTTATGCTTTTTTTCTAATACATTAGGATTTTTAAATTAATAAAGACACACTGTAGCTTTAGCTATACGTATGTATGTATATTTTTAATTTATTTCAGCCGAAATATATTATTGAGATACTCAGTTGAATAGCCCAAAGTTTAAGACCCTTTTACATAAAATGCCTCTACAGCATTCGTAATGTTATCGTATATAGTAAATTGCCTAATAGTATCCTAAACATAAAAATACAATATTGTACATTTTATTTAACATCATTTCTTACAAACAATAATAATAATAATAATAAAAAAATGTATAAAAAAAGTTTTGCTTACTTGTGAATAAGTTATAGAAGAAAAGTAAATTTTCAAATACGGTTGGCTGTTGATATAAAGTTTGAAGATTGTTTTTGTTTGCTTAACATACAAACAGGAAAAAGTATCCGTTAAGAATTTGTATCGTAGAATGAAACACACTTTTTTTTTTAAATCACCAAAATAAAATCAACAAAAAATTTCTAAACCACAAACGAAAAATTGGTCTATTTAGTTAGGAATTTTCGTTTAAATTATTTTTCTTTTTTTCCTTTTATAAGGGTTTGTATTGGGTAGGTTTCTTAAATTTTTATTTTTTTTCTCTTTGGCAGCAGCTTTTGTGGGGCTTAAATAAAAAAATGCCTTTTGTTGTGCTAGGTTTTTCTTTTAATTTTATATTTTCACTGTTTTTTTTTATTGATATTTGTTTTGTTTTTATTATTTCGTTTTTATATATGTTTTGTTGCTTTTATGTTTCGTTAAGATTTTGTTTTTACTTTTATTTACTTTCACGAAATCAAAAGTGTAAATTTGTTTTACAAAACCTAGAATTAATAGCGCTTAAATAAATGTGCAAAATTTTTAACTATACTTTTTTATTTTTGTTTAAAGAACACAATTTGTTTTCTTAATATATCATTTATATAATATTTGCCTAGAAATATGCTTTAATTTTGTGTTTTAGCATTAGCCTGTAAGTATGCCACTAGTTATGTTTTTATTGTTTGAGTAATAAATTCGTTATTATATTTTACACCGTTTATTTTTAATTTTTCAAACTCGTTATAATTCTTTAAATTTCATTTTCAAAAATGTTAAAATCTTTTAAATTTTCACAAAATTTTTCTTTAATATTAAAATTTTTCAGTTGAAAACCAAGAAACAATGTTTTCTTTCCTTTTTAGAGAATCCGTTTCCGCACGTTGTTACGAAACACGTCAACTTAGCCGAAAAGTCTACTTTCAACTAAACGTTTTTGCTCTGTTAAATTCTAGTCGTGCACACATCTTTACTCATGTTACTCAATGACATCGTTTTCCTACAATTCAACGATTCGCCGTCCTACAGTGTCTGTGAGTGAGAGAGTGTGTGTATTTCATGCTCCTGTTTAATTTACGTTTCCTTTTTTGTTGTACACTTCTGCAACATACTACACGTTGTTTTCGTTTTGTTTTGGGGTCCTCGTTTATTTTTTGTTTTTGTTAATTTTTCTTGGGCCGTTTAAATGCACGAGTGAGTGTGTATTTGGTTATGTGTGGTGAGAATTTTCCTTTAGGTTTTCCGATCGTTAAATGTCGTTTTTTTCATTTCAGTTTTAAAAAAGAGAAACTAACGGTTTTTATTTTCTTTTCGCCGTAATTTTATGTTGAAATGGAAAAATTAAGAGGGTGTTTTTCTCTGTCTCTCTATACTGTTACTCTTATAAAATGCTACTTTATGAGCATATAAAAACCGGCTGCCAGCTGGTGAGTATGAGCCAACCAACCATTTCTTATAGAACAATTCTATTGTAATAAAGTATAATTCTTGTTGGAAAATTTTAAGTTTCAATTAAAGTCTTTCGTTTTGCAAAAAATCCTTGTCTATTAATATAAAAAAATCGCAGAGTCCCAATTTGCAAATATTAAAAAAAATCAGTTTAAAATAAATATTTTTTAACCAAAATACATTTTTTCAACGACAACCAAAAAAATACAAATTTTACCACAAAAATTATTGTTATTCCAACAATCAATAAAAAACAAGTAAAAGTGTAATATCGGCTAAACCGAATCTAATCGTTATTATTCAAAATAATTTCTTATAAAATTTCGATTGTATTTCCAAAATGTCATTTTTAGACCCTACAGGGTATTATGCGTTTGTGCTGATGTTCATAACACCAATAAATATTGGTCCTACCTTTAAGTATACAAATCGGCTCAGAATTCCTTTCTATGCTATGTCTGCCCTTTTGTTGATCTGTGTGTCCATGTAAAGCTTGTGCGAACGTTACAGGTCGTAATTTTTAACATAATTTGATGAAATTTGGACTTTGAAATTTGGAATTCCATTGAAAACGGCTGAAATCGGTCCACTATTTTACCTATGTCCATAGTATCGTACCCTTCGAAAAGGGCTTTGTAGAACGTAATTTTATTAAATGATCTAATATCTCTATAACAATTGAAAAATTTTGTTTTGAATAAGTATCAATGATACTGCCTACTATCGCAATCATCGAGCCTCATTTGACCCTTTCCCCCATACAAGGATCCCTTCGAAAAAGTGTCTTGAATGTCAATAATTCAATTAGTATCACAATGAAATTTTGCATAAATTGGTTTAATGTAGACGTAAATCTCTCTACCAGTAGTTATAAGGATTGTCCCATATTTATCCATGCACCCATAACCTTCGGAAAATTACTTATAACTATCTAAATTTTTGATAACTTGACAAAATGTTTGTTTCCGTAGTGAGGGTACTAACATTTATGCATATGTGGAACTAATTTTGATTTAGAATGTGGATCTTGTGCATGTGCTATTATGGGCCGATCTTGCCGATACCAAAAAATGTATAAGAATGGTTTGTATATTTACAAAACATATTCCTGTCAAGTTTTACTACGACGTCGATATTTTTAATGAACTAAATTGAAAAAAATGGTTCTTATAAGGCAGTAGTGATCAATTATGGACCGATCCGGGAAAAATTCTCATAATAATTTCTATGTACACAAAACAAATTCAAGTCGAATTTTACCCCAATAGCTTAATTAATTAATGAAATATGCGCTTTTAAGTGATTTTCGGAAGTGGACCTTATATGGGAGCTATGACCAATTACGGGCCTATCCGGAAACAATTTAGTAGAGTGATTCGTATATAGACAAGACATATTTCTGTCGAATTTTATCACAATAGCTTTATATATCAATGAAATATGTACGTTTAAGTGATTTTCGGAAGTGGACCTTATATGGGAGCTATGACCAATTACGGGCCTATCCAAAAAAAATTTCGTAGAGTGATTCATATATAGACAAAACATATTAGTGTCGAATTTTATCACAATAGCTTTATTTGTCAATAAAATATGAGCATTTAAATGATTTTCGGAAGTGTACCTTATATGGGAGCTATGATCAATTGAGGACCGATACAGATCTACGTTGGTAGTATGATTTCTGTTCATATTATATTTACATGTACAAAATTTTGTTCATACCGAGATACTTGAGGGAGTTATTCACGATAAACTAATTACCGGAAATATATACCTTTGTATGGGGGCTATGGGAAATATTGGATCAATTGTTACGATTTTGAACATACTTGATGACTGGCGAAAAAAATAATGTGTGACAAAATTCATCGAAATATCTTTTAGTTTCTGAGAAAACTACTTAAGAATTGGGGAAAAAAACGTAATTTTTTCCAGGTAGTCTGAAATTTTTACTCATAACTTTTTACTTCGTCAACCGATTTTACCAAACTGCTTAGGACAATAACAAATATATTTGGTGAGTTTGGTTGATTACCTTTGCTTAGTTTTAAAGTGAACGTACTTTACACAGACAGACAGGCGGACATAGTTAAATCGACTCACAAGGACCCAGAATATATATACTTTGTAGGGTCAAAGATGAATGTTTCCTATCGCCACTGAAGGTGGTGGAGGGTATAAAAGCAACTTAAAACATTTTAAATATATTCTTTAGTTGCCTTTAACTAGATTGCAAGGGTTATAGAAATCTTAGTACATACTTCTACTATAAGAATCTAAACTATAAGACGCATTGTATGTTTCAGGCCTTTTAAATTTAAGGTATAAAATTTGTTATATTATATTTTTAAAAACAATGCAATTTGCATTAAATTTCTAACACAAAAATTCTACATTAACCCAAATAAAAAGATTTTTCATAAATTATAAACTTTCATAATAAAACTATTAAGTCGTAATAGCAGCTGAAACTAAAAAAAGTTATATCAACTTTAAATATGTAAGTATGCAAAAATAGTTGTCCCTAAATTGCAAAACATTAATTCTAAAAATTTTCACTATAAAATATATTAACAGCAAAAACAAAACGAAAAACCCGTCAACTATTCGTTCAATGAACTTCAAAAAAATGTGTTGAGAGTCAAATATTCAAAGAACGAAGAAAACACAGTCACATGAAAGTCCTACAATCCTGGTATCGTTTTAACTGTGTATTTTGTGGCACCGATGTTTGTGTACTCTTTACCCAAATACGATAACCATTCCATATATAAATGCAAATATATATTGAATGTCAAACTTTAATAAAATTATGTAGAACATTAAATACCAACAGAAATTCGCCTTAAAAATCTGTAAAAGAATAAATTTGATGGACCAACTTCGTAGGAAACCAAAATAAACGAGTTGTTTAGTTTTCAGAGTTTTAAAATTTTTAAATAGAAAGAGTTTAATCACTCTTTCTGTAGCTTTCTCTTAAGCCAGCGAATTGCCTTTAGCAACATTTCGGAGTTGTATACAAAGTGGTGAGTTGTTAGGAGAGTCCTGCAAATGTTTAAGCAACATATAGCATGTTGTAGCAAATGTTGTTAAACAAAAACTTTTGAGTTGAGTGAAATTTCATTAAACAACATAAATTGAACCAGAGGCAAATTGAAGTCTATTTTAAGGGTTACACAAAATTTTATTTGTGTCATTCGCCAAACGATAGCGAAAGTGTAATGAATGCCTCAAGATATGAAAATAAATACAAACAATCATGTTTTTAAGCAACTATCAGCGAAAAATAGGAAAAACTGAAGTTGTAGCAAATTTTATTCGTTATGAAAAGACATATCTTTAACAAAAGTTATGCAATAAAAATTGCTTTAAAGGGTATTTTTAAATAAATTTCTGTAAACGAACAGTTTATTTTTAAGCAAACTAGGGTTTAAATAATTATATTTTTGTAAATATTATAATAATTTTAAACTATTATCTCATTTGCAAATTCTAAGAATCTATGAATAATATCTCAACATCTCTAAACTACTTAGGAACGAATTCTCTTAAAAAATCCCCCAAGAAAAAACTTACCCTAAAAAATCATATAAAATGGGGAGTGAGAAAAATGTAAAAAAACAACTGAAAAAATTAAAAAATAATAACACACGTCAACAGTTATAAAATGTCAAAATATTAAAGACTTAATCTCCCTTTAAAAAAAGCAACAACAGCAATCAAATAAAAAACAAACACCCAGATATACAAAAGTACCAGTCCAATTGTATACACTCAAGTTACAATGTAGGATGGACTATCCATAAAGCAGCCAGACAAATGATACCAAAAATAAAAATTTCACTTTGCTACAGAAAAATCTGAGGAAAAACAACAACAAAATACGAATAGTCTGGTTGTAAAAATTTACAATACCAAAAAATAACAGTCATGTATGGATGTATGTATGTATATTTGGATCAACAGCGAAAAAAATTGAAAGGAAAATTAATTGAAATTTTTCCTTGGGTTTATAAACTCAAACAGGGGTTTTAAACAAAATGTGTCAAATTATAATGTTTTTTCTTTTTTTAAAAAAAAAAGATAAATAACTTTGAAGAATATAGAAAATTAAAGAAATATTTTCAAATCAGACGTTCAATGTAGTTATTACGGTAAATCGTAATACTTTCCAAAAAACCCTGTTTATGAAAATATGTTTGTTTTAAGTAAAATTCACAGAATTGACATGTTAAAGAAAATTTAGCAGAGTTAGGTAGAAGGTTACAAGAAGTTTACGAACGATCACTTTTAACTAAAGTTTTGATTTCTATTCTGATTATCTGATTTACCTCATAAATCGTATCTTTATAATCCTATAAAAGCTTTTCGAAGCATATTCTACATTCTCCCCCATTCTTAAGTAACAGATGCGTTTCACAATGAAATATGAAATGTTTACCAAACGTTACAAAAAAA